AGAGCGAAATGTGTGAGGTCCAAGTTCGTTTCGAAACATGTGCCCACTTAGCAACTGGCTAAAACATACAGCCAAACAACTATCCTGTGCTTCCAGGTTCCTGTTGTGACGAATGAAGAGGTGATGGATTTTCAGGTGAAAGTTGAAGGAAGCGGGTTTCAGTCAGAAGAAGTCAGAAAAGTCCTGATCAGAGCCTACAAACCGCAGACATTCATCCAAACAGATAAAGCCATCTACCTCCCCGGACAACAAGGTAAACATGAGCAATCGTGCTATCTATCCCAACAATGCAGCATGATATGGAAGTATAAGTAATGTATCCCCAAACACCAACAGTTTTAAACTCAGAGAAGCCATTAGAAGTTCATAATTAATAATTAATATAATGAGCTTTGGGCTTCAGGGTTTGTGACACTGCTAGAGATCATTTTTCACGCAGTCTCTTTGGATATGTCTTCAAGTGCGTTTCAGAGTCGTCACACTGGACTCCAAGCTGAGACCTGCTAGTAAAGTGGTGAGTGTTTAAACTTTGTTAGGTCCTATTTACAGACAGCTTATGCGTTTGAATGAATGCAATGAAAATGAGTTACTTCCATGAATTTTGGATGACTTATCCAGTGAAGTCGTAAGAGGCGGTTTCTACCTCCCAGCTGTCATTATGTAGCTTACATAAATCTTCATCTGAATTCATCTGAAGCCGCAAGTGTGGTGCACGCACAAAAAAGCCTAATAACTGTAACACTGCAAGATGACATGAAACCATGTCAGCTCTTTGAACTTTTTCCCTTCCTTTGTTGCAGTATGACATCATCGAACTGGAGGTAAGAACACAGTGATTTAAAAATAAATAAACAATATGAACACACAAGTCAGTACTATGTTTATTTTATTCATGTTTTTATTATTGTTGTTGTTTTTAACAAATCATGGCATTAATTTAAAGCGTTTAATGTGTGAATACATATAATATATACATATGATTAACACCTTTCAAAGTCAAATTGACAGAAGTAATAATTCTTTGACCCACGTATTTGGTTATTAATTATATTCTTAATTATATTCTTTCATTTTGCATGTAACAGGATCCGAGCGGGAACAGGATCGGGCAGTGGCTCAGTACAAATTCAGATAACAAAATACTGCAGCTTTCATACTTCTTGAGTTCTGAGGCCCGTGAGGGAATATACAAAATCACTGTGACCATGGGTGACTCCC